GATTCTGTGTTTTATATATATTCTACTTTAATTTGTAGTAAACATCTGTGGTTAATGTTTGCGTGAATCAGGAAGTCAGTTATGGCAGGTGCGTCTGCATTTTCGCGAGGAGAATCTACCAGCTATTGCACTTTTTCAAGGTGTAATCCATTTCTGCGGTCAATTCTGTACGGCAAAACTAGTTCACTACCAGAGTTTTTTGTTACTTCTGTTTTTACGTGATTTAACGTGACTTGAAACTGCTGTACATAAGCTAGTACAAACTTGAAACTCTTTAGCATCACCATAACTGATAGTATAAAAAAGATAGAGTTCTCGGCGTTGATCGGTCCTTGAGGGATGTGTCATGCATTCCACTTCATTAAGCATAGTTCAGAGGTGATTGAATGCATATCTCTCCTTTACAATAACTCACGGCACCCTACCGATGTATCAAACCAGCGCTGCTGTTCTTCCAGGCCAGAGTCTGGTACCAATTTGCCGACCCCGGAGGGATGGAAGGCTTGATGGGTCATAGGCACGAGGTTCGATCCCGTGTGTGTTGCAGTGCGCCTCCAACCACTGGGCCACACGCGCCCTATAACTGATAGTAGTGCTAAAAATCGAGGATACAATATGAACTATTCTTGAACATGGACATTTGTCGATTATTTCAGTTGTTTATTCTCAATTGCAGTCCATATTCTCCATTTAAATCAATTTTCTCACTGAAGTTATGCGCAGACTGTTCTTAACCGCCACTATCCTACCACCAACACCGTTCATTCGTCTCTTATTCAGCCTTTATCGATCGATCCCGGCATTTCCAACCAATCGATGGCGATTCTTGACGAATGACTGGTTGATGTTTTTTGAGGGTTACGAAGGTAAAGGGCGTGGTCACATGCGTCTCACTGGGTGATCGCTGCTGTCGCCCACTCTCTCGCCCCAACTTGCCCGCCGGTAGCCGCGCCATGTGCTTTTCAGCCGACTCGGCTGTCGACCATCACCTTGTCTGTCCATTGATTTCCTCCTGAGTTCTTTTTATATTTTTTCTGTAGTCTAAATTATTCTCCATCCATATTTCATTTTATTCCACATTAGTCTTTAATTTTATCTTTTTTCTAAAGAAAACATGAAATGATAAATTGATGCGGGGATTCAATAATAGTGCACTATAGTAACAATGTTGTATACGTGTACTAAAAAAAGAGAAAAGTTTTCTAATTCAGTCACCGGAAAAAGAGTATGAGTCATATGTGAGTCATGTTATCAGAATTCCAGGAATATTTATTTATATGGTCTTATAAACTGATCTTTTTTAGTAGCTGATACGAGGTTGGTATAGGTCTTCGTTGTCGTCGTAGTTGTCGTTGGTGTTGTTGGTCGATGGTTGACGTTTCGGCGATTTCGTTTTCCTCAGAGCCTGGACGTCTTTTATATTAGAATACTTTAGATACTCGGTGGAAAAAGGCTAAAGTATTTGTGAAAATCGATCTTTTAAATAGACGCCATATTGAACAGAAAGGCTACTCACTATGATGTTATAAGTGGGCCAGTCCCACTCATAACATCACGGTGAGTAGCCCTTGTGTTCAATATGGCGTAGAGCTGCATTTAACCGTAGCATCCTAACCCACCATCTATTTAAAAGCTTGATCTTCATTAGTACTTTAGCCTTTTCCCACCGAATAATTAAAGTATTATAATATAAAATACGTTCAGGCTCTGAGGATGGCGAAATCGCCGAAACGTTAGCCATCGACCAACAACACCAACGACAACGACAACGAAGACCTATACCAACCTCGCATCAGCTAAAGAAGATCGGTTTATAAGATCATATAAATAAATATACCAACTATCTATGCCGAGGTTTATAGAAAGTCGGTCTTTTGAGTTATTCCAGGAATAATTAGGCGGGTAGAACTCATAGTTCTCACATGTCCATTGGGTGCTGCAAGAACCTAAGATGATTTTTTCAGCGGAAAAAATTTCTGTCTTTAACTCGAATGAGCGCAAAGAACAAGCAGATCACATGAGAACAATAGGAAGGGTGATGACATTGTTAGGACATTGAGTTGTGATGAAATAAAAAACCAGTTTCACCATCTCATTTGATGTAGAAGGCAGTGGAAATTAATCAATAAGCATCCATAACGGGTGTCACTGCAAATTTTCTGGCTAACGCCACTCATTTATCTCAGGCATGTTGTGGACTCTCGCGTTGTTATTCCACGATAAGAACTACAGTGCTGTTCTTTTCAAGCTCTCGAAAATTATTTCTCTTGACGGCAATACTTCAAACTCATACTTATTCCGATATTTTTTCGCCCTTCCAGGTGATTTAGTGCTTGGTGAAGGTTATTAGTTCTTCTTTTATCAAATCCGCCTTAAACTATAAAGAAAGTCCGATGCCTCTCTGATCAAACAGAAATAGATAACAAAACTGATGACGTCTATCAGAATTGTACTTAAGGATAAAAGGGATAAAGCTCTCGACGTTGATCAATCCCTGAGAGATGCGCCATGCATTCGACTTCATCAAGTTTCGTTGGAGGTGATTGAATGCATATCTGGCCTTTACAGTGACTCACGGTAGCCTACCGATGTATCGAGTATGTGTTGCTATTCTCTCAAACAAGTCTGGTACAAATTTGCTGAACCCGGTGGGTTGGAAGGCTTGATGAACACCTGGGTCGCCGGGATCGCTCCCATGTGTATTGAAGGGCGCCCTTTACCACTACCCCATACAAGCCTCTATCAGAATTGTATTGCAAAGAAGTCTTTTAAAACCGATTTTCCTTTAATCTAGGTATGACAAACCAATATGTGTTCTTTCCTCAATAAGTTTACCCGAGGTTGATAAACAATGTTTGTTTTCCGCTAACGTTTCGATATCTTCGTCTTCATCAGAGCCGATGATCCGAGTTGATGGTCCTCAATTTTTCGTCTTCTCGATGTGGATCCTCCTTTCCTCATTCTCGATACTTTCCTTCACTTAGCAAAAGTGGGTGACTGTCCATGATGAAGACCCTGGAAGTCTCTAGAGGACATATTTCGTAGTTTTGGATAAATCACAATCGACCATCTTTGATTACCGTTGTTTGTCGAAATCCTTGTCGACATCTGACTTCTCCATTAATATTTCTCCATGAAGAGAAAAGACGACAGCTTCGGAATTTGCGGCCGAAGCATTCGGCGACCATGAACAAGTCTGTGGATGAAAGGTGCAAGGAAACTACCTGTACAAAAGGAAGGAGTCCTGGCATCCGAACGGCATCGACTTGTTGAATAAGGATCATCTAAGCATCTAACAATCTATGCAGTCTTAACCTTTTTATTTACTGCCTATTCTTTCTAACGGTAGGGTATGTTGCGAAATATAACTTCTATAATGCTGAGATATTTGCAAAACTCTAGACCGTAGGTGTCTGCGGTGGAGAACGAGCGCGCTGTTGTCCTTTCCGGGGAGTAACGCGTTCACCACCACACCATGCGGGTCCTTCGTTCTGCCTATCTCTCAGCTAGTTCTATCATTTTTTTTGCCATCAGCAACCACCCGTCAACGAGATTGAACTAGCTGAGAGACAAGCGAAACGAAGGACCCGCATGGTGTGGTGGTGAACGCGTTACTCCCCGGAAAGGACAATAGCGTGTTCGTTCCCCACCGCAGACACCTGCGGTCTAGAGTTTTGCAAATATCTCAGCGTTATAGAATCTGAGCAGTTTTAAAATTCGCCAATGTAATAATGGATGAGGATATTGTCTTCTCAGTGGCTTGTCGATACAGTCGAGTAGGGGCGAGTTCAACCAACACTGAAAGACGAATAGCTTAGATTGCCGTAAATATGCAACTTATTAACATGTTCCTGTTGTTGATGAGGAAATAGATCGCCTACGTTTCAATTTTTCATGTTTTTCCGCATTTTCTCTGCTGTTGTTCGCTGAGTATTCTTCAAAGAAAGTTCTTCACCTAAGCGATTCTTTCCGAAGAAATTATGAATCAGCGCTGAAGAATTTCGATACCGACTTCCTGTAACCGGAACCGCTTTCAAGGATTACTGTGTTGTTTGTTGAAATGCTTGTCGACACTTGAGAAACGCCTAGAAAAACTTTAGAAGTGAGTAATCGGACACCGGCGCTAAAACTAAACTAAACGTAGTCGTTTTTTCTTGCTCTCAGAGAATTCCTTTTTCACCGTCCGTGCCTTTTTTGACTTTTTTTTGACAAAAGACCAACTTTGCCGCGAAAACTAGCATCTCACGCTGTGGCACTGCGAGCTGTAAATGCGAACTAGTCAACGATAGTTCGAGACAGACGGTCATTTGGTAAGTTCCGTTAAGCTCTAAGACAGCGTATTGGTGTTTGGGTGTTTTGTTCTTCATGTTCGACAGCGCTGTGACAAATCAAACCAGCCAATTCGAGGCTGGTTATCGCTTCGTGCTCCCTCATCACCAAACTTTTTCTTCTATACTATAATTTCTTCAGTGAAAACAAAATAACGATCTACAATGGTATTCAGCTATTGATGGAAACATGAAAGTGATTAAAGTAAGCCAGTTTCCTCAGTTGCCGGGCTGGTGCTTAACTCCTCGTTGACTTTTCCCGAAGATACTTGTCTACACTACGACATACTTTCCCACATTTATTCTATTAATATTTTTAAATTATTTTTGCAAAACTCCGGATAATAGCGCGTTCGTTCCCCAGTTTCGCAAATATCTCAGCATCATTGAAGTTCTATTAATATTGCTAGCTTACTTCCTAGAGTTTTCTAATTACTTAGTATCACTTTAACAACGATTTGATTCGTTTCGTTACCATGGATTCAATAGTATTTTCATAAAAAATGCTACGCAGTGTGTCTATCTCTGAATGTTTTTCTCTCGTTCGTTCTTACCACAATAGGCCCACTCGGTGCTATTCAATTCGGCCATTCACACTAACACCATCATTGTCACAGATCGGCCAATCCACACGCCAGCATCGGCATCGGTTCTAATCTGATTCCTGCTAAAATGGCCACCAGAATCATCCCGATCACAATTCAACGAAGTGCTGACTCGTCTAACAACGTCAACACAAAATCGTCACCAATACCGACAACGATATCGGCACCAGCACCGGTGCCGGAGCCGGTACCAGTGCAACTACCAGTGTCAGAACCAATACCGTTACCGCCGCCATCGCCCTCACCATCACCACCGTCCGAAGCCGCTTCAAACACGATCACAAGTATCGCCAGTAATGATGAGGTTCGATTTTTTTGTGCTTTATTGAGATTGAATATGATTTGGTATCTGATTAAACGGATACTCACAGAATGCTTCCAAAGTTGGCGAATTATGCTAGCATTTAAAATGTTGTGGAGATTATACTCTCTAACGAGATCGGCAGGAGAGAGCCTGATCTGATATAAATTACATAAATAGTCGGACTGATGCTCGTTTTTCACCATTGAGATAATGATTTTCAATACTGATGTTTCTGATTTGACAGAGGATAAACATCCAACCGTACCAACCACTTAACTAACCGGATCGATCTTGCTGTCTGAATAATGGCGACGTAGTTTCGCCACCGAACTAACAGCTTTTAAATGAATGTATTCAACCGAAACATCAAGGTGTTCGTGAATATCGACGTGCTGTATTCGGATATCCGTCAATTAACTTTGTTATTGAAACATCGGTTTTCGGCTTCGTTATCGGCTTATCGATCCACTTTTCGATCGATTCTAGTTTCCATTTTGTTTAGATGTCGACGAACTCACGTAACTTTCCGGCACCGTTCATCCGGAAACAGAGCATTGACGATTTTAACGAGCAGGTTGTTCACATACTTGATGAAGTCGAGAAGCGAGTCGAACAATTAAGGTAAAAGGTTACATGCACATTTATTATTACTGTTACTGCTTTATTACTCCCATCTCGTTAATTAAGTACTCCCTCAGATTGCTACCGCTGCTGCTATTATTACTACTAGCATCACTAAGGGTTTTATTATTTTCATCTTCTTTCTTTTGGCCATAAAATCCTAAAAGTTCATGAACCTAAAAGCTCTCGACGTTGATTAATTCCTGAGGGATGTGCCATGCATTCGACTTCATTAAGCATCATTAGAGGTTATTGAATGCATATTTGACCTTTACAATGATTCGCTGTGGCCTACCGATGTGTCGCGACAATGCTGCTATCCTCGCAGACAAGTCTGGTGCCAGTTTGTCGACCCAGAAGGGATGAAAGGCTTGGTGGACTATGAGCGTGGGGATCGATTCCACGTGTATGTTGCAGGGCGCCTCCAACAACTGCGCCACGCGCGCTCTTTGAAAATTCATAACTTGAAAAAAACTATTGTGGGCGTGCTAAAATATCCCAGGACAATATTAATAGTTTTTCTTCTATTGTAAATATTAAACTGACCGTCATACACTTTTCATTTTTCAGACGATTTAGACTTTTTAACAACCTAACGTTATCTCATCAATTAAAGGAAACACATTGATATTATCCAAACCGAGGTTAAATCAAAGATGATCTTCAAAATTTTTAGTGTTGAGAGTTTTCCTTTCTCTTCTTCCGTAAGTTTGCAACAAATTTCCCGTTTCTTCAGAGAGGCGGCCTCAATGCTGGAACAGGAGAAGGAACAAATTCTTGACATGTTGAACAGCGTCAGTCTCAATTCGGAACTGTTACGACTCGGTCAAGGTGAGTCAACGAGTTGAAGAGCGAGAAAATCCCTATCATCTCAATCGCTTTATAATTAACCACTAACGATTATGTCATTGAAAAAGTTAATTAGTTGATAATGCAATCAACGGATCAATGATTGTTCGCTAATCAACTTATCACGGTGCAAAAAAATTGCGAAATTTTGTAGAAGCATAAAGTTCTCGGCGTTGATCGGTCCTTGAGGGATGCGTCATGCATTCCACTTTGTTAAGCATGGTTCAGAGGTGATTGAATGCATATCTCTCCTTTACAATAGCTCACCGCAGCCTACCGATGTATCGAACCAGTGCTGCTGTTCCACCAGGCCAGAGTCTGGTACCAATTTGCCGACCCCGGAGGGATGGAAGGCTTGATGGGTCATGTGCACGGGGATCGATTCCACGTGTGAGTTGCAGGGCGCCTCCGACCACTGCGCCACAGGCGCCTCTGTTTTAAGATGTCGGAGAAATTTACTTATATTGTTTGCCTTTACACTACTACCTCATTATTCAACACATCCATGAGTGCCAAATAAGGGAATAAGATTTATTACCACCTGTATTGGTTTGGTAAGACTTTACTTGGGATATTCTTTCATATCACAAGGTTACGAGCAGGTTACCTTAGTCAGTGCTACTGTATCAGTGGTCTTTTACAATTCTACAATGTCCAGTCATACAGAAGCATTAGTCGATGGTATGCCACTGCAAAACCGAAGATGTTTTCTGGAATCTTTTAAAAATATTTTTCATCTTTCTAAATAAGAACGAAACTCACTATGTTTAAGGCGATCGTGAGGACATTACAGCTATCACAAATCGGCTTGCCGCTAGAACAAAAACTGTTGATGTAAGTGGATAATTTGTATCTAAGGATTTTACAGTTTACTGTTACGTTTACAAACTAACCTACCAAAAAAACGATGAAGAAAACGAAAAGAGAGGAGAAAACACATTATGACGTTACATTCAAAAAGAGGGGAGAAAACATTATGACGTTACATTCAAAAAGAGGGGAGAAAACACATTATGACGTTACATTCAAAAAGAGGGGAGAAAACACATTATGACGTTACATTCAAAAAGAGGGGAGAAAACACATTATGACGTTGCGTTCAAACACCAAAATGTGCTATTTTTTGCTGAGACCACAATGGTGCTGAGATATTTGCAAAACTTCGGACCGCAGGTGTCTGCGGTGGGGAAGGAATGCGTTATTACCTTTCCGGGGACTAACGCCTCCACCACCACACCATGCGGGTCCTTCGTTTCGCCTGTCTCTCAGCTAATTCTAGTAGGTTCTCTGTCTGGTACAAAAATAGCCGACAACAATTATTCAGTAGCTAGTTATTGCTGGCTTTCCTTTCTGTTAACCATATTGTTTGCATCTGAATTTACCAAAGAGAGTGAGAAAAGTAGCAGGAAAACCGATCAATAACTAGATGATACTTGTTTTTCTAAACTTCATTGCCAGATATTTTCAACAAAATACTAATTCCACTTTCGCTTGGGGGGGGGGGGGGGGGGGGGGGGGGGCGGGGGGTGGCTAGGGTTACGTTTCATGATTTATTTCGCATTTTTTGCTAATGTCATCAATTAAGTAGGATGATTCTAGGTGGTTGTGAACACTCCGCGAAGTGCTGAACAACAACGAGCGCTGACGTCAGTGAACAGCCTTATCGAGGGTGTGGTGCAAAAAATGCACGACGATATGCAAGCTGGAAAGGAAGTGAGTTGATTCCTAGGATGAGCTTGTTAACAGCCAGATTTATTCTATACAGTGCTGGTTGATGATTCAGCCGTTTCGCATTCTTCAGAGCGGTTTTGTGCTTAGGTCATCCAGTTATTTTATTGGAGACCAGGCGCAGAGAGTCTTACATAGGTGGAAAGTGAAAGTCGGAAATGAAATGAGAAATGTGAGTGGATGAGAATGGAAGATGAGTTGATTCGTTTTCGATGAGAATGAGCAATGAAATTAGTTATGGAGAAGAATGACTTGCAGATGTGATGCAATAGTATTCACAGCTTTTTACATAGTGGAAATCTTCATCAATCTATTTTCTTAAGACTTGTCGTCGTTATCTGAACGCCTGTAATCCTGACCAACCAGATGGACCAATTGATCAGAAATTTCAAGCCCAAGTAAGTTCTTGTGCAATAGTTTTTTCCCCAAAAATATTTAAAAACTGCTAAAATCTACTTTTATTTATCACCAGACTTTATACATGTGATTCCTTTGTCTGTATATTTATCAAATTCTTCATTTACTTGTGTATTTATGGCTGATTCTCTATTATATCATATTTTTCAATGCTTCATCCTATCATCGTTGTTAGACGTGTTCCTCGATATTCCATTACGATGGACAGCAATAGTTCCATCCTTCACCAACTTACCCAAGTTCTAAGTAACTTCAATTTTCACGGTTAAAACTGAAAAGTGTGACGTGTAGTGTACTAAATAGAAGTCCCTTGAGATACATAAATCTGCTTTGGTTCGATTCAGCGTGCGGACAAAGCAAGCGCTCATCCTTATGGGTCCGTAATTTGGTACTAAACTCTTTTGGGAAGGTAAAAACACTAATTTGTTACTCCTAAATCAAGCCAATACTCGAGATTTCGACCGTCTTTGACTAAGTCTAGCTAGAAGATGGCAAACGTTCATCTACTGACAAAGATAGGTCGTCTGCTTGTTGTAACAGGCTTGATATCCCAACACTCTGGCCTGGGTTTCATAGGACCCTACGTAAAAATATTAAGAGCTCACCAACACAATATTTAAATATGAAATATGCTATGGTTCTAGGGATTAATCTTTACGATGGGGAGTTATTCAACCACTGTAGTGGTCAAATGTGTAGACTACATAAGCTTCTTGCTATTATGTTAGATTTATACCCAGAGAAAACCTATTTGCAATACTCATTATGCTGACGCTGTAATATTCTACATATACAAATTTTTAGGACAGTATAAAGTACGAAGGTCATTTTCTTCGTCGGAGCATCCAGATCATTCCATGATTGAAAGTGATTCTCTGTTTTCTTTTGTTATTTGTTCGGGGAGAAACTGTCAAAATTCGAGGGAAATGTTATGCCTGTGCGCAGATCCTACAAAACCTTCCAAATTATTTGAAGTGTGACCTCGGCACATAGATACAATTCTGCGTAAGAACCGCTTTAAGTATTCGTGAATTATAAATGCAACTAATGCTGGAAGCCTCGTCTTCTGTACTCCTCGGTGAGAAACTTTAACAATATTTTGTGTGTGAAGATATTCTGACTCAACCATAGGGCCATCTCCTTTGTGTAGAGGTGATAAGTATAACTAGTTAATAACTCGAAAGACCGACTTTCTATAAACCTCGGCATAGATAGTTGATATATTTATTTATATGATCTTATAAACTGATCTTCTTAAGCTGACGCGAAGTTGGTACAAATCTTCGTTGTCGTTGTTTTTGATGTTATTGATCGATGGCTGACGTTTCGGCGACTTCGCCTTCCTCAGAGCCTGGACGTATTTTATATTAGAATATTTTTATTATTCGGTGGAAAAGAAAGGCTAAAGTTTTAATGAAGATCAAACTCTCAAACTTTCAAATAGACGCCATATTGAACAGAAAGGCCACTCACCGTGATGTTACGTGCGGGACTGGCCCACACGTAGTTCACGTGGAGTCGCCAGCAAGACACGCCCCGGGGTCAAAATATCATTTTGAAATAAGGCGCCAGGTCACGTGTGATAGTGAGGCATTCGTCCTTCCGGTTCATCTTTGGATTTTTGAAATTTATCCAAAACGCCTCAAGAGTTTTGCGCGCTGATGTTTTTGATTCCTGCGCTAGGATCCGCACATTCACTTCAAAATCATCGCCGTTGTGCTTTTGTGCCCTATGCGTACCTAGAGGGGTGTTTAAACGGATTTTAGCTTTCCCATCTAGATGTTCTTTTATGCGGACACAAAGTGGTCTACCCGTTTCCCCGATATATTCCTCACCGGATGCATTACATGAGATCAAGTATATTATACCTAAACTCATGCAATCACCGTCTCTCCCGTTAGGACAGATCATACAGTTTTCTGAGCTGCACAAACGATCATAGAGACGGTTTCGAACTAACCGGCGGCGTAGGGTGTTGGGTGGGATGTCAGTAATCGTTACATAATTTTCAAGACCACTTTTTCTTAAGCACTTTTTAATGGCGTGACTTACTTCATTTGATATGAAGGGCAGCTTAAAGGGGATCCTACTGTCGTCTGAAATATTATTTTGGGAAACTACCCAACGTTTTCCTTTAACCCGAGTGGCTTCTACTTCGTAGCCATTGGAAATGGCAATTTTTCGTGCCAGGTTTTTCGATTCCTTCCTTTCGTCTTGTTCTGTGCACACATTTTTAGCCGTACGATACATGTTTTTGATAAGTTCTTTTCTCATGTGTGAAGGATGAGAAGAGAGGCAGTGAACTAGAATGTTTTTACTACTTGGCTTGCGATACCATTTTGTTACATAGCCACTTACTCAGAGCTTTATTTGGATGTTTAAGAATGGAAGCCAGTTCCCCGTAGGGTTTTCTCGTGTAAATTTTATATACTCTGACTGTCGGTTTAATAATTCAAAGCACTCATCCATCTGTTCTTGTGTGGAACAGACGATGAAGCAGTCGTCTATGTATCGACAGTAGAGTAAGGGTCGGTGATCGAGAACTGGAGCTTCCTTCTTAGACAAGAAAATGATGACAAGACTTGGTGCTAAACGCTGCCCCATCGCCAACCCTCTAATTTGAGCAAAATATTTCCCAGATCACCTAAAGATTGAACAACTAAGACACTGTTTTAAGAGAGTCATTAGTTGCCGCCGTGCATTTTTATTTTCTTTTCATGCTCTACGAGCGACTCGAGAATGGCTTGCATTGCGGAGTCATTGGACACGTTGGTATAAAGTGAACTAACATCGAATGACTCCATTATATGCGTGCTGTTTGGCTGCGCGCACCTTAGGTGATCTAGAAATATTTTGGTATTAGGTAGATGGGTTGGGATGAATTTTAGCAGCTGGGTTAGGATAAGGTTTAGGAACCACGTTATTCTATCCGTTGGCCCGCCTATACAACTGATGATAGGTCTAACTTTATATGATGAAGCCACTCGGGTTAGAGGAAAACGTTGGGTAGTTTCCAAAAATAATACTTCAGACTAGAGTAGGATCCCTTTCAAGCTACCCTTCATATCAAACGAAACAGGTTTCGCCATTAAGAAGTACCTAAGAAAAAGTGGTCTTAAAAATTATGTAACGATTATTGACATCCCACCCAATACCCTACGCTGTCAGTTAGTTCGAAACCGTCTCTATGATCGTTTGTGCAGCTCAGAAAACTGTATGATTTGTCCTAACAGGAGAGACGGATATTGCATGAGTTCAGGTACAATATACTTGATCTCATGTAATGCATGCGGCGAAGAATATATCGGGGAAACGGGTAGACCGCTTTGTGTCTGCATAAAAGAACATCTAGATGGAAAAGCTAAAATCCGTTTAAACACCCCTCTAGGTACGCATAGGGCACAAAAGCACAACGGCGATGATTTTGAAGTGAATGTGCGGATCCTAGCGCAGGAATCGAAAACATCAACGCGCAAAACTCTTGAGGCGTTTTGGATAAATTTCAAAAATCCAAAGATGAACCGGAAGGACGAATGCCTCACTATCACGCATGACTTGGCACCCTATTTCAAAATGATATATTGACCCCGGGGCGTGTCTTGCTCGCCACTCCACGTGAACTACGTGTGGGCCAGTCCCGCACGTAACATCACGGTGAGTGGCCTTTCTGTTCAATATGGCGTCTATTTGAAAGTTCGATCTTCATTAATACTTTAACCTTCTTTTCCACTGAATAATAAAAAGTATTCTAACATAAAGTGCGTCCAGGCTCTGAGGAAGGCGAAGTTGCCGAAACGTCAGCCATCGATCAATAACATCAAAAACAACGACAAGGACAACGAAGATTTGTACCAACCTCGCGTCAGCTTAAGAAGATCAGTTTATAAGATCACATAAATAAATAAACAACTAGTTACTTATCGATGGGACAACTAGACTGGTAATCTTTACCATCATAAAACTTCGTAACTTGTTCAGTCGTAGTGTAAAAATGGCTTGAAACTTCGAATATATTATATGCTGATCTCAAAAAAACATGTTTTGTAAGTAATGACGACATGAGTCACCAGAAAAGTGGTTTCTGGGTCAGTTCAAGAATCAGAACACCTTTTCAGCTCATCGAATGCACTGCCGATGATCAGAAGAAAATTCGTCGAAAACTCGCTCAGATCATTTCACAATTCGAACGTGCTGAGCGTACGTTCTCACCGCAGTGGTAGATGAGGTGAGCGGTCTCAGATCTCTAAACCCTCGAAAAATAGTTCGCCATAGACGATCTAATGTTGAATAGCCAAGAATTTGACGTGATACCTTTTAACTTTCTTATCACGTTTAACGCATTCCGCCCCATGCGTATCATTCATACTAATACAACAGTAACGCAAAGTTCTTGACGTGAACAGAGATTTGAAGTGCGATTGGCTACAAGGAAATCCCTAACCTTGTACTGTTTCAGAATTCATCGCTGGGCGCGCTTGCTCCATTCCGTCAATTTTAACCACTACTCCGCAATCATTTACTTACGAGAGTACTTTTAATATGACTTCAAGAGGACGCTCGAGTGCATCTTCTACTACTCTTAAGTTTTTTCTATATTCTTTTCGCCGTGACTGTTTCCAGTTTTCTAAGTTGATTTTTGTTTTGGAGTGGAAATATCGAGATGTTGTGATGCCATTCATTGACTGGGTAGATTATGATCATTTGCAATGTGTGCATAACAACAATACTTTGTTCTTTCCTTGCAATCAATTTTAGTGTATCAATGTTTTTTTTGAATTTGGTTACCGTACCCTCCCAGTCAGGTTTATCACTACCACATTGTTTTCCTTTTAATGTTGCCTCATTTATTTATTTGAGTATAAATAGTGCCTTTATTTATCATCTTTTACCTTCAGGTTGCAATGATTTCAGCTGCATTTTTGATTATTCCCTTTAATGGGCTGTGGTGAATTTCACTTTAAACGTCGGACTGCGCATGTTTGGGGTTTTGTTAGCAGCCACTGAGAAACGAGAAAAGCGCGATTTCTGATGATTTTATGGACGCGATTGGTTTTGGTACCTGATAAAGTTGTTGGAAAAGTACACTAAAGAGTAGATGGACAAACCGCTTCTCTGGAGTCAATGCAAATCGTAAGATTTGACTTGAAGAGTACTTTAATTACTCACTAAATTTGCGGGCCGTATTTACAACAGAATTGAATAGAAGCTCAAATATCTCCGAGTGCCGTATGATTGAGAGGATAAAGCGTTCGGCGTTGATCACTCCTTAGAGACGCCCCAACATTGATGAATTTGCAAAGGAATGAATACATATTTAGCCTGTATAATGGATTTCAGAGTCCCACTAATGTATCTGAATTTTCGTACACTTCTAAGCAGGTTGCCCATCATGGAGTGGTACCCAACGTGTTCACTCTGTAGATGGGATCGCTCGATCTGTACCAAGGATTAAGTGTCTATTATAATGTACCTGTAACTAATACGCTACAGGCATTCCGTTTTATGGCCATGATTACCAAATTTTATTTTAACACTGCTTCGAGTTGGGTAAGTGTGGCGCAGTGGCCGGAGACAAGCTGGGACACACACGGGATCGATCTCTGCGCCCTTGTATCAACAAGCCCTCCATCCCTCTGGGATCAGGAAGTTGCTGCCAGACTTGTTTTGGAGGGTAATGATAGTGGCTCTACACATCGGTAAGCCACCTTGAGTCATTATAAAGGCTAGATATGCATTAGATCACACCCAAACGATGCTTATTGAAGTCGAAGAAGAAGAAAAAGATCGGACTTCGCATAAATCGAAAGAGGACCCAGTTCATGAAAAAACCACGGTGCGAAGGCGAAAAAATTGAATTCGATGGCTCTCTCATCGCGGCGACCTCTTCATACGTATACCTTTGGCAATCAATGAACATGGAAAACAACATGAACGAGGAGCTAGATAGAAGAAGGAGAGCAGCTTGGGCCGCATTCGGGCATCTCGAATAAGCCACCGACCAGCTGAAGGACCCGAAAATGCGCGCTCATCTCTTCGATTCTACGGTCTTCCCAGCGTTCTGTTATGCGGCAGAGACGTGAGTTGATATTTCAACAACGTCAAAAATGCTTCGCACTGCTCACAGAGCGCTTGAGAGATGTCTTCTGAAATATAACCGGCACTCTCAATATCTAGCCGGATTGCGAAGCTCCAACGTTCGCAATCTGTCACATCTTCAAGATCCAAGAGAATACACATCAATAGCGAAACATAGATGGGCCAGTCACATAATGAGAACAACAGACGATAGATGGACGAAAAGAACAGTAGAGTGGACTTTAAGAGAATGCAAACGTTCCCTAGGACGACCACCTACACGTTGGGCAGACGTGTTCGTAAACAAAGTTAAACAGCGGTACACGCAGCTGCAGTTGTTTTACAGATCACGGTATGAGACTCGCACGCGCTACCATACTCGAGCAAGACTACTATTATGGACTAGGATTGCGAGAGAAAGGAACGAATGGCGTATGTGCTGGATTCCGCACAGATGGTGAAGACGGACCGTCCAAGTATCCAAGTGAGTAAGATAGAAAACTAGCTCAGAAAAACGCAGAACAAGACCTACATGGCGTAGTGTGTAATGCGCGAGCCCACAGAAAGGGACGTTGTTGTTGTTTTCACGGGCAACCTGAACAGTGAAAGGCTAAAACTTTCTTTTAAGAGCGTAGTAAGCTGTTCACATGGCAAAGCATATACTTTTTTTTGTGTAATGTTGCACGAAGGAATCGAAAATGACTCGAACTGTGTGGTCACTAGATACGGTAACGCTGAATGAGGTAAGATCGAATGACTCATTACAATACATCAATGAAGGACACATCCAAAGCTCTCCTCATGACTGGTTCGCGTCTTAGACCTCTTTTTTAAGTGAAGATGAAACGGCTAATTTAATAGTAACCTTTACTAGCCTTTAACAATGGGCAGCAAAGGCAGATTTTATCAATTTTTTTCTGTCCTAAGCTTGTCAATTGCCAGTTGTAGTGTGCTCCTCCGTTCTTCGTACTGTTTAGATCCTTTGTGATCCATGAAATTGTATGTGCACCAAATTCATCATTGCAGAGTTCGATCAGCCACAAATTAGTTCCACCACTGCTAATCATTCGAAATCCCTCGAAATAAAACATCTCAGCAACCACAACAGAAAAGCCACGAAACCTATATTTTCATCGCGTTCAAAATAAAATACCTTCTTCGTACAAACACCGCTTTCTATGAATCTTCCACTGAGTACTTCACAAGGAGACCAACATCACGGAGTTCAGCATGGAAGCGAACGCATATGCCTCTCTTACATTAGAATATCACTCTTAAATACTGAATGGGATCAGGCCTGATAGCGAGACATTTTTTATGCCGTTTATTTTTGGATTCTTGGAAATTATCCAGAATGCGTTGAGAGTTTTTAATGCTGAAACTGTCGATTCTTGTGTGGGGATCGTGGGTTCTACCTGAAAATCTTTCCGTTATGTCTGTTTCCTACACGTACTTAGTGGATCGTTTCGTTCAACTTCACGCTTGCCGTATAGCTGTAATTTCACGTGTTCACATCGTAGTTCACCCGCTACTCCAACGTATCCGCTCACAGATGGCTTGCTAAAGGTTAGATACACCGCACGCGAACTCATGCAATGATCGTATCTACCTTTAGGGCATATTATAGAATTTGGCATTGTACATAGACTATCATATAGGCGTTTGCGACTCCCTGGCCTTTTAGAGTGTTCGATAGTATTTCACTGTTAGCAAATTCTCTTTTCCTTCTTAAGCAATGTTTTATAGCATACTTATTTCTTAAAATAAAGGAAGGATAAGCAGTATCTTATTCTCTCTAGAATTACTGTTTGGGAGGTGGTTCCCTCCCTCCACAACTATCCCAAGGAGGTAAAGTTTCGTATACATTGGAAATAGTTATTTGTCGGGCCAATTTCAGGGATTTTTTCTTCTGCTCTATTCTTGTGCACACATTGGAAACTTGGATGTTAAATGGCAAAATGAAAGATCACTCTCGTTATCGAGCGAGCGATTGAGAAAGTGGTGTAACGAGCATTTTGTGCCAGGATGAAAGAACGCTCAGCGTTATCGAAAAAGTTGTTTTGCACACAACAGGGAGAGATAAAGAATTTAGTGGTGCGAAGTCTAGTGACTTGGCAATCAACAGTAGAGATTATGCGATGGTGCAGATGGTCGAAAGTGATACTAATGCTTTTAGCTTTGCTTTAATCCACAGGCATACTCAGCTTTTATCGTTATTCGTGGTAAACGATCTTTAGTAAACAAATGTAGTTGTCGTAATCAAGGAACATTCTATCTCGGCGCCTTTTCCTGTAACACCTAAGGTTCTTGATGAGATAGCTCTCCTTCCAAGCAATTTTCACTCCTGTCCTCCTTAACATTTCACTATTCCGTAATTCAATATATCTGCTTTCTCGGCACAATTTGTTATGACGAGTTGTGCGAAACGATCAGTGTAGTGGAAATTGCGTTAAACATGAGCGACTTGCCAGATTTGTCTCCAAACCATTCCTTGTCGTCCGCAAGCGTTGTCGGCAGCCTGTGGTGAACATTTGGAAACGCGTTATCAGAGTTATCCAAAAATTCTGGTAATTATCACTTCCACACACAACGACAATAAAGGCTGAACCCAAGGCAACTAAAGAACTTTTTTGGTGGATGATTCAAGAATGCGAACCGAATGAAAGAAATCCTTGGATACAAACAACATGTGAAGTCTGACAATGTAGATAGAATAAGAAAGTAGATTTATCCTTACTGAGACCTCTAGATAAAGAAAAACTACTATTATATTGTCCCATTGTTCAATCTTTATTCCTTCCCTGTAGCTTTTACTGTTTTACTAGCCGTTCGTCTTTAATTCTCCGTTCCCAACACTTCGTTGAGACCTACAGCACCCTGCTTCGTCGACATACACCATGAAAGTGAAAACAACTCTTTTTTGCTAAATGATCACTAGAAGGTAGCCTCCATTGAAACGCACTACTTTTGGACTCCACTGAGAGACTTCGAAATTTGAACCTGTGTCATTCAAAAGCAACGTTGCCTTCTTGAACAGATATCGGCCTGAAGATGGCGAAAGTATCAAATTAAACAGAAATTCATCTGTCTGTTGTCTCCATTATAATGAAATAAATGCCAATTTTACAGGCACGTCTCGTAATAATTTCCTGACATATTTTTATAACATTACTCTCATATTCGTAATTCTCGTGACATTCAGTGGAAGACTCATAGAAAGCGGTGAATATGCGATGAGGTTACTCTGTGTTCAATGTGATTGAAATCTTCGTTTAGCATTTTCCTTGTTTGGTTATGGAAGTGTTTGGCTGGTTAGAATGGGGTCAATTTGACCTTTCCGGACTCTGAGGAAGGCGAAATCTTCCGAAACGTTAGCTTGTTCTTGAACAAAGAATAAAATAACACCTCGCGTTTGCTCAACAAGAACATAAAGAATTATTTGTACTCCTACAATTTTACCCATATTGTTACGTAAAACTTCGGCCACTCAAAATTTTAGGTTGAGTCCTTGGTACTTAATTCAGTATTCTGCTGTTTGACTTTGCTTTTTTTTTTACTTAAAATTTTTAGACTTTTTTAAAACTTTTTTTGACTTTCATTTTTTTAACTTTAATTTTTTATCTGATCTATTATGTCGAAATGCGAATTTTATTGTAAAATAAATACAATTTTCCTCGACTACTTATTTATTTACGTAAAAAGTGCCATCATCAAAGCACTACGGTAGCTTTTATTTCAACTGCAAACAAAGGAGAAGTAGACTGTGCACAATGTACTCAGGAATTCTGCTATCATGAATAGAGTCTTATCTGGCCGCTCTGCTCAAACCATTTGCTAATCAGTGAGAGAACAAGTGACCCAGGTGGTACCGCAGGTGCTATGAAGAAATCGGGCCATCGAAATGGGCGTACTATCAACTAGGCAACAAACCGAGGCAATTGTTGAAACAAGAAAATTCAGCCGATAACGAAAAGTATGACAAAGGGCGTATAAAAGCCAGCAGCTTAACGCCTGATAGCAAGTCATCTTTGTCGCACCGAAATCCTCGTCATTTCTTCCACCTTAGTTCTGCTGGTAAAAAATTTCTCAAAGTTTTCTGATAGAACAAATAGTCATCGGTAGATGGCTGAACTATGACTACTTTAGCAAGCTGTTTAGGGAACTCACAAAGGAACTCTTTTAAAAAACTCTAGATGAAAAGAAGAGTGCAGCAGAATTTTCAGCATGCGCAACAAAAACTCTAATTCACATAACGTGTCATAAAACTTATGCATTTTTTAAAGACTAGGGAAATCTCTTGAGAATAACTACTACTTGAAAGCACCACCGATTGTAACGCTCGGCTGAAAGCACGCGCAAAGTCATTAGGGTTGTTATTCTTTATCGACTCTTTAAACGTGAAAGAGTGGGATTGGTTGCTTAAACAAATTCTCTTTCAGTGATGAAGACCGTTCTCGTTCTTGCTACCGTTGTGGCGATGCTTCATGCAAAGTCGTACAAAATGGAAACTCGCTCATCTGGATCGCTCATAGCTCGTCTCATCAAGTGAGATCACGATTTTGGGCTTTTGATTGAATCGAATGATATCAAATTCCACTTTGGATTTTTTCCTGAGCATCCGCATAACGATTTCGATTTATCAACACCACTAGCCGTCGACTTGGGTACTACTGATAACAGCCATCAGCGCCTTTTCCTTCGTGATTCTTCGTGTTGATGACAGTCCTTAACTATTCCGATCTCCTGGCCAGTGCTTGCTGGCAGCACACTTTCGGCGTTGCCTTCAAAGTGTCCGACACTTTTCGCGTAAAATAAATACGAAACCCATCCCCCAGTAGAATTCCTGGAAATGCTTAAATATTTGCAAGATGTGAAATTTTTGGGGATAATAACTAGGACAGTTTAGGGATAATCTTTATCACAAATACTTGGAAAATCACCGTTTTCACCGCACACAAGTGCACAAGAAGGGATCACAGCCGATCATGGACCACCATGATTACTTCTACCTTGCAAACATCACTTTCGGAACACCCGGTGAGTTATCACTGAGTAGTGTGACCTTGAGAAAGTCGAGAACAGTTTCTTTGTCAAATGAAGACTGTTACAGATCATTTTTACAATGAGCACCTTGAAAGAAAACCTTTGGAGCAGTTTTTCTTCAGCTTTGAGATTTCCAGTGAGCAGCATCACATAAATGTAGGTTAGGCTGAAGGATCTTCAGTTTTAGGCCAAACCGTGTCTCTGATGATGGATACTAGTTCATCGAACCTCTGGGTTATCGACGCTGCCTGCAATACTGATGCATGTAATGGCCGTTTCAACGTTCCCTACACCAGACACAAATTTGACTCTACAAAATCTTCAACGTTCTCGACAACAAACAATACGATTTTCCTCCAACAGCAGTACGGATCGTGTACTGGAATTCTCGTAAACGACACTGTTTCTTTTGCCGGTAACAATTTAGCCAGATCTCGACTAAACGACGACATAAAGCTAAAAAGCCCCATACACCAAATAGGAATTGATTGCCTTTTCCTTGCTAATAACTCAGCTGTGAAACAGCTAGTTTCATGGGAAAGAATAAGATTCAAATGACGTACTTCTAAAGCACTAACATAACTGTATCTTATCTAAAAATGAGCATTCGTTCATGTTTTTCAATTGAGAATTCATCTGAGTATTTCGTTCATCTGGGAAAGTCGGTTTGTAATAGTGTCCAATATAACTGTAACTATGAAAAGGAAATCTGATTACTTCCAAAAATTCTGCGTCATTTGAAAGCCTACGCTTTGAGCAGTAGAAACATTGGAAAGTAGTGGCTGACATTAGCAACTCAGATCTAACAATCGATCAACAGGAGTTTGCCGACATCGCGGACATGGATGGATATCTTCCCAGTCGCCCATTTGACGGCGTCTTCGGGCTCGGCTGGCCGGCGGTCGCTTCAGGAGAGGTGAAAGCTGATATTCGGAGAACATGACAGTTCAAGCAATAGAGCAGGCTATAAATATCCATACATGTGAAGCTTATTGTTTTAGGTCAGCCCACCAATGCAAAACATTCTTCCTAACCTTGACGCTCCACTTTTCACTATTTGGATGGATAGAAAGGTAAAAGTTGTTCCTAATTTTCTTAATTTTATGAGGTCCTCCTTTCTTCTTCAATTCTTCACAAAACTACTAGCCTCCCGCTGTAAACGAAACGCATAGCAACTACATTTTATTTACTGCCTATTCTTCTTCATGGCATGGTATGATGTGAATTATAACCATTACTGAGATATTTGGAAAACTCCGGATCGCAAATGTCTGCTGTGAGGATCGAACACGCTATTACCCTTTTCGGGGCTGAAGCGTTCACCGCCACACCATACGGGTCCTTCGATTCGCCTTTCTCTCAGCCATGTTTTTAACTTACAGGTGCTATTAGCAATTACCTGGAAAGGGTAATAGAGTGTTCGTTCTCCACCTCAGCCACCTGCAATCCGAAGTTTTCCAAATTTCTCAGCATCATTGTGGTTGAAACTTACAGTGTCGTGTTATGGTGAAAATAGTCTCAAGCTGTATGCTATGTGGTTTTAAGAAGGAAAAGAATCTTGCACTAGGATTCAACTAGAGCTGATTTACAGAACAACATGAAAACAGTGAGACATGTATAGGGTTAAAGTCAGATTCTTCTTCCAGTGCCCTATCGCGAGTTCTTAAAGAATTACCGAAATTGAATGGCTGTTTTGAGCAAAGAAGTTGGCTTTAAAACATAACACTAAGAAGGAAATTATAAATATTTTACCCGGGATTTCATCAGATCAAAAGGACGATAAATTAATTGAAATGATAATTCCGAATATCCACCTGTATGTATTATAGGCTGCTTTGAATGCCACCGAAAGCCCTGGCCTAATCACTTACGGAGCCATCGACACAACCAACTGCCAGTCGGACCTCAATTACGTTCCACTGTCTTCGGAAGTCTATTGGCAGTTCAATATTGAAGGTTTTTCCGTAGGAAGCTTTTCAGAAAGCGGACACGGAGTGGTAGGGAAGCGACGTGTTCATTTAAAATCCCAAAAATTTATTCTTTCTACTTTTGTTTAGCAAGTGAAATTTATGTTTGACCGTTCATAAGAATTTCTGTTAAACAGGTCAGCGCCGATACTAGTATGTCATTGATCGGAGCCCCAGGTTATATTGTCGATGCAGTAGTCAGCCAGACTGGCGCACAATTCGACATCATGTACGGGTTCTACAAAGTTGATTGCTCAACAATGAAAACACAACCTGACTTGGTGTTCTCCATCAACGGTTTCAAATACAACATACCACCAGAAGAGTATTTGTTCGACTACGGTATCGAAGAAGGAAAAGTACGCGCATTGGCTCTAGCACAGAAATTTTTGTATTAAATTTTCATCAAAGGTTTTGTTGACGTACAGCAGCTTTTTGTTTTGTACAGGGATTGGGAAGCTTTGATTGATCTCCTAATGTAGTTATGTTGCACCGCCGATTTCTATGGTCAAGGGTTGTAAAGCGTAGTAACATTGAATGGAGATTCCTTTGTGACATGAGATAAATAGTTGGGTAAGGACGTGCCCAGCTTGAACGTTGTTGCAGTGTTTCACGACAGCCAATGAATATCACATTAACAATGTTTCTGTTAATCTGCTAAAAGCAGCGCTTTTATTTTTCCAAAGACGTTCCCAGAGTGATAGGCCTTTGCTTTGCCCAGAGCACAGAGTCGAATCAACGTGTACCGCAGAGCACTTCCAACCAGTCCGCTCTGTACTCCTTTTCTTAATTAATACTTTATATCCTAATATTGTCGATTTCAGTGTGTTTTGGGTCTCTATAACACTAACTCTGGCGGTTTTGGAACTACTTGGACTTTCGGAAACCCCTGGCTCCGCACATTCTGCAACATTTTCGACATCGGTGGGAAACGTATCGGTTTCGCCAAGGCTAATCATTCGAAAAGCTAAAAACAAGTTTTACCATAATATATTAGTCAAAATGTTTGCTGTAAGTGTTGATAAATATTTGCATTTCACGTCTACAAATATTTCCTGCATGTCACGAACACCATCAGCAAATCTTACTGATTACCACCACTCAATCTGAACAATGTACTCCTTCTTGTTCAGTAGTCGGTGAAGCATCATTCTCGAACCCTTGAAATCATCGGTTTAAAATTAGCAGTCAAATAACGAGACAAAAACTCGTTACCTAGTTCTAACCACCTTCATTCTGCTCTATCTCTAGTTATCTCAACCCTTTACACAGTAAAAGTCCACCCTCCGAAAGGATGATCAGTGCTGTAAAGATTTTTGCTTTGTCATTAAATCGAAGGAAGTTCAGCAAAACGCAAACCATTATTTGCAAAGTTATTGGTAATCATGTTTAAGTAATTCTTCGTATTTTTGTTGAGCAAACGCGAGGTGTTATTATTCTTTATTCACGAATGAGCTGACGTTTCGGCGGATTTCGCCTTCCTCAGAGCCTGGAAAGGTCAAGTTGACAGCAATCTACTTGCCCAGACGCCTCCATAACCAAACAAAGAAACTCTAAACCAAGATTTCAATCACATTGAACACAGCTTTGCACACTCACCGCTTTCTATGAGGTCTCCACTAAGTATGTCACGTAGAGACCAACCGCACAGAAATCACATGGAAGTATAATGTGCCCCACTCATCAGAATAGCAGTCTTATATACTGCCCTACATCACGCGTGATAATGAGGCATTCTTCCCTGCGGTTCATTTTCGGATTTCTGGAATTAATCCAGAGTGCCTCGAGAGTTTTTCGCGCCTGTGTTCTTGTTTCGCGTGTGTCCGCATAAAAGAACACCTAGCCGGCAAACATAGACCAAATACTCCGCTAGGCACGCATAGGACCCAGAGACATAAAACAGGGAGCGACTTCGAAGTATGTGTCACGATCCTCGCACGCGAATCAAGAACACAGGCGCGAAAAACTCTCGAGGCACTCTGGATTAGTTAGACTTTGAAGTATGTGTCACGATCCTTGCACGCGAATCAAGAACACAGGCGCGAAAAACTCTCGAGGCACTCTGGATTAATTCCAGAAATCCGAAAATGAACCGCAGGGAAGAATGCCTCATTATCACGCGTGATGTAGGGCAGTATATAAGACTGCTATTCTGATGAGTGGGGCACATTATACTTCCATGTGATTTCTGTGCGGTTGGTCTCTACGTGACATACTTAGTGGAGACCTCATAGAAAGCGATGAGTGTGCAAAGCTGTGTTCAATGTGATTGAAATCTTGGTTTAGAGTTTCTTTGTTTGGTTATGGAGGCGTCTGGCCAAGTAGATTGCTGTCAACTTGACCTTTCCAGGCTCTGAGGAAGGCGAAATCCGCCGAAACGTCAGCTTTTAAGTAAATAAAGAAATAAAGCAACGCCTCGTGTTTGCTCAACAAAAATACGATGAATTACTTGATCAATGCCGAGGTTAATAGAAAGTCGGTCGTGGGAGTTATCATGCTTAACTTTTTATTAACTGCTTATTCGTTTTTTCTCACGGGCTGGTACCATGTGAAATACAGCAACAAGCACACTGAGAGATGAGCTAACTCCGGAACACCAGGTGAGCTTCAAGCACGAATGCCCACTCGCCGAATTGTACTCTCCAGATCATTTCCGTTGCGGTTATTGGTCATAGCACCGTTGGAATCAGAACACAACTGGCTAAGAAAAAGGGTCTCTGAAGCATTTCTCACATAGATCGTTATCGAAATCCGTGGTGAAGTAGCATTCGATAAGCAAGAGGTGCGGTTAGTATGGTGGATAAGGCATAGTTTCCTAACCTAGCCCGTTCAACTTCTTCATCGTCGTTTGTACGGCGTACAGCCGAACTGCAGCGTAGAGAAGGACTGGTCCTTTTCGATTAACCTATACAGAGTGCAGCCGTTGAGGTTTCTAGTGTGTTTCGTCGAAAATTATCTCCATAATCGTTTCACTTGAATTTAGGTTTCTGCGATGGATCAAATCAGCAGGAAGCTATCAATCAGTTAGCAAAACTTTCTTTTAGTGCAATTTCTACTTCAGAAAGTCTTGGGGAACTACTTCGCGACCCGCCCGCCAAGCCGATCGTTGCCGGTTGAGATAGAGGCACGGCTTTTTGTAGGACATCACACTTTGTCGATCGCGGAGAAATGGGTGTTCTGGCTACGCAGAAGAAATGCCCACGAGTCCTCAAAGCAGTGATTTTCTCTGCTATCATTAAATTCATGCTGTACCTACTTTTTGAACTTCTTCGACTCTTAACTTTTCCTTAGATGCACCGAAGACCTGAGCTGTTAACACCGGGCTCTCCTTGAAGTTCTCGAACAATTGTGCTTGTATATGCATTCACCACATCCTTCAATTCACCGTCGTCAACAGCAGAATGACGTCTGCGATTACCTTTACCTTGTGCCGAATTCGCAATAACGAATTTTTCCAGAATACATTTCACTATCATTCGTCAACACTTCCTTGGTTCCCTTTCACATTAAACTGCGTACATCCGAGTTTGAACTCATAAAAGTAGATTGGCCGAAATTGCTGTTTTTCATTCGAAATTCCAACTTTTAAAATCTGTCTAGACACAGTTTATATTGAAATTCGACAAGTGGAAGGAAAGGGCATAATAAGCTTTGCAGGGATATGTAGTACTCCAGCAAAAAAAACTATTGCTGAAACACATGCAAGATAATTCTTTCTACTTCTGCTCAGCAAACACGAGGTGTTACTTTATTTCTTTACTTGCGTACAAACTGACGTTTCGGCGGATTTCGCCTTCCTCAGAGCCTGGAAAGGTCAAGTTGACTACAATCTACTTAGGTGTTCTTTTATACGTACACAGAGTGGTCTACCCGTTTCGCCAACGTATTCGTCCCCGCACGCTTTACAAAAGATCAGATAGACGGTACCCGAACTCATGCAGTCACTGTCTCTACCATTGGGGAAAATTATGCAATTTTGCGTTGCACATAGACGGTCGTATAGGCGGTTACGAACTAGCTAACTAGTCGGCAAACGTAAACCAATTACTCCACTAGGCACGCATAGGACGTAGAGACATAACGGAGAACATTTTGAAGTAGGGGTTACGATCCTCGCGCAAGGATCGAGAACACAAGGGCGCGAAATTCTAGAAGCATTTTAGATTAATTCCAAGAATCCGAAAATGAACCGCAGGGAGGAATGCCTCGCTATCACGCGTGATATTGGGCAGTATATAAACCTGTTATTCTGATGGGAGGGGCACATTACGCTTCCATGTGAATTCTGTGCGATCGGTCTTCACGCGACATACTCAGTGGAAGACTCATAGAAAGCGGTGAGTGTGCAAGGACTCTGTGTTCAATGTGATTGAAATTTTCGTTCATATATTTTCCCTGTTTGGTTATGGAGGTGTTTGGCCGTGTAGATTGTAGTCAACTTGATCTTTCCAGGCTCTGAGGAAGGCGAAATCCGCCGAAACGTCAGCTTTTAAGTAAATAAAGAAATAAAGCAACACCTCGTGTTTGCTGAACAGAAGTAGAAACAATTATTTAATCAGTGTCGAGGTTAATAGAGAGTCGGACTTGGGAGTTACTACAATCCGCATAAGGAAGAACGCATCCACACACGCATGCATGAGTACGCCTAGCAAATACAGAAAGTATGTGCCAAATCGGCGCAGCAGATACAGGAAGTCCATCCCCTGGATCCACCTGCTTCTCAGGGAAGCAAAGGTCGCTTTTGGTCCGCGATTAACCTCCTATCCGCCACCTAGGGACGCGCCACGTAGCTTCGCGACTAACCGGCACGAGACCTTTCATATGAGGGAAATCGTTGGGAATAACCTCGTAGAAAAATACAACAAAGGCGTTGAAAATAAAGTTTCGATTTTAAAGTGGGTTGTAAGATTACCAGAGGAATAGTATCTTTTCGGCGCGTGAACATTGCTTTCAGTAGTAAAAAACTTGGGGATATCCTGCCTTAAGTAGTAATCGCTCGCGTTGTTTTAGCGAGTCAAAGGTACCTACGGTGCGATATCTGCAAGAACATGGTCCATTCGTGTAAATGCTCCCGTAATGAGAAATACCGTATGATCAGCAATCACGGTGCTTGGGCGGAAACCAGCAAAGTTTGCGCTCCTTCACAGTCCGCGGTTTTTGAAATCTACGTCAGCATTATACTGTTCGTTAGTCACTTATGCCCTCCTAAATCATTATTATTCGAAGGGACACCAATAAACTGCACTCGTCACCTCGCGCACAATATCGATCATGTGGACTTCATTTCCACATCGGAGACAAAGAAAATGTAACGTCTGTTATGTTCTTTGTTAAACTGCTTTTCACCAACAACCACTGGTTCCTTGCCGTGCTCTTCCACGAGATGCGTTTACTCTTA